GCAAAGGAAAGGAAGAGAAGGTCAGTTGAATGCAGTTTTCAGAGGCACTTGGACCGACTGGACTGCTGAGAGTTGGGACGATGGTGACTATTGGTGGCATGACCAATGGCCGGAGAGCTGTGATGGTCAATGGGGAGTTTCGCAGACATGGTGGGACGATGGTTCTGGATGGTATGGCGACGGGTATGGATATACCTGGCAACAGGGACCAGTCCAAAGTGCGGAACCGAGTGCAAGTCACGACAATAGGTCTGATGTCCAAAGGACTGGCAGTGTCGGCAGCATGATCATAAATCCTTTGTTGTATGATTTGACATGTGAAACCACTGGAGGTCTTAGGTTTGTGCATGAGCATGAGTTTGCTGACATGGAAACCGAAAATGGGCTTGTGGTTGATTGCAAAGACTTTGAAAGTGAACTGACTGACAAACGGGTTGTGTGGGCTGGCAAGGAATTATGCGACAGCTGTACTCTTGATTCAAGGAAGAATGACGCTGACATGGGTTTGTGCTGGCAGGAGGTTGCGACAGCTGTACTCCATAGTCAGAAGAGAGAGATGACTGACCTACATCGGGTTGTTGCTGGCAGATGTTGCGACAGCTGTACTCGGTGTTCAGAAGGAATTGAAAGTGAAATTGGCTACTGGTTGTTTGTGCTGGCAAGAGGTTGCGACAGCTGTACTCATGAGCCATGGTTTTGTGGTTTGAAGTGTGGAGATGAGGTTGGACTTGGTGACAGTTCCAACTTGGAGACACGTTTTGTTAATGACCCCAGCCGAGACTTGTGTGCCACTGTACCGATGAAAGTCGTTTTGGTGCGTGCACATGACTGGTTTGACGACCACAGTGAAGTTTCGGTTGAACAACAGATTGAACCTTATTTTGAGTTTTTGCGACCTTTGCTTTCACAGGTCGCTGACAACACCGATGCTTCTTGGTGGCTTCTTGACTCTGGTGCATCCACAAGTGCTTTGGCTGAGTCGAACTTGTCAGCCTTCAGGTCAGTGCTGCAGGACAGTGAGGGGTTAGGTGGCTACAAAGCTGCCAATGGATCCTCAGTCAACATGTCAGGCACTGCTGAGATTGGAGTACAGATGCACATGTCAGGTACATCAGGTGATGATTGGTGTTGGAAGAAAGCACGTTTGAATGTTTTGGTGGGTTCCATCCGGCACAACATTTTGTCAATCACTTCATTGGCAGATTTGGGATGGAGATTCACACAAGGTCCGAAAGGTTTTGATTTGTTTCATGAGAAGCTTGGAATGCATTGTCTTGATGTTGCTTATTTCGCCAATTGTCCTTGGGTTCGTTTGTATCCAGATGTTGGTAGTAGTAGTGCGTACAGGTCTGACTTGACTGTGAGTAACACTCATGACTTTTCTGTCGCAGCTGTGTCTGGAGGAGACGACAATGAACTGGCACGTCACCGAAGACAGGGACATATTCCATTCAATCCGAATTGCTTGGAGTGTGCCAAAGGTCGTTCTGTTTTTCAGCACACAAGAGACAAAGGTGACAGGAAAGAGGTTTCTATTCAGGCCGATTTTGCATTTCTCAAGACATCAGGCGAGATCGCCACAGACGAACTCCCAGGTTCGGTGAAGATCCTTGTGTTAACCGAGATGATGTCGAGGGGCATTGGCTATGTGGTGGTTGGAGAAGATGTCGAAGCAGCCAGGAGACAGATTGTTGTATGGCTCCAACATTTTGGGTTGACTTCGAAGGCAGTCTCCATTGATGTCCACACCGATAGCGAGAGGGCCGTGGGAGAGATCATTGGAAATTCCACTGGTCGATACACGTTCGCTATTCGGAGAGCCGCGCCACAACAACATCGATCAATTGGGTCGGCTGAGCGAGCAGTTAGGGAATTAAAAGAATCCTTTTCTGTATTAAGAGCTGATCTGAATGCACAAGGGTTGGATGTCACGTTTTCACATGAGAATTTGGTTGATGTTTTGACGTATTTGGCTTTGTGCAACAACCATTTTTCAACATCGAGAGGTTCAGACAGAAGTCCATTGGAAATGGTTTCAGGAAGGAAGTTATCCAAAACAGTTTCGACTTTGTTTGGTGCTCAGGTTCTGGCCGAAATTCCTGATTCAATTCGGCAGCATTCACCACTTTCAACAAGGAATGTTGAGTGTACCTTCATTCACATGGATTGGAACGAGGTCCAGTTGTGGTGCAGGGTCTCATCGTGTGGATGCAAAGCTGAGTTGGATATGCGTTTTGTAGCTAGGAACATCAGGGCGATTTCACCTTTGCGATGGATTTGAATTCGGACAGGGTGTTTTACAACGCATTTGACACGGACTGTACGTAGTAGACGACCCAAATTGTGAATGCCAGTGGGACTGCAACCGCTGGATATGACTCAGCTACCTCCTGAAGAGTTGCGAAGGTTGAAAGGCCAAAGTTTGCAGGCACCTTCACAGCCCAAACTTGTCTTGCCAGAGTCCAGCAGTGTGAAGAAGAAATCTGGTGAGTTGCGTTTGGCGCCAGCAGTGCCATTGGCAAGATCGAACGTTGTCGTGACTCCACAGGAAGTTCCAGCAGAGCCGTCTCGAGTTTCTGTCACTCCATCTCCTACGTCACCAGCAGATACTGCAGATGTAGCCATTGGTAGTCCTGATAGTTCTGAAAGAACTTCACCTGACGTATCACGTTTTGAACCGACTCGTCGATGTCCAGCATGTGAGAGTGGCATGGAAGCACCTGGTATTAGGCACAACAAGGAATGTAGGAAGCGTTTTGCTGAGTTTGAGGAACAACGGAGAAAGGAAAGACGTGTTGAACCTCCACTCTCTCAGGAGAGCTCTGTTGTCGTACCCCAAGTTCAGGTGCCAGTAGAAGAGGTCGATGATGATGAAATGGTATCAACACCTGAGTCCGCTCGGCGACAGCCAGAAACGCAGGTTGAATACACCAGAAGGTTTAAGAGAAAAGCTGAAACCGACCGAGAACAGTTGGAAAGAGCGATCCGTGAAGATTCTGAGGAACTGCTTCAAACAAACATGGATTTTGATTGGTTTTGGGTTGGTAGTGGTGAACCTGTGTTGGTTGCGAGTTTGGGTACACTTGAAGGTCCAGCGTCTTTTGCTCCGGCAACATCTCCAGAAATGTTTTCTGGTTCTCTTGATTCTGTTTGTTTCAATCGAGGCAACGAGCATGAGTGGGGGGGGAGAATATCGTCTTGGAAGGCAGATGTCTTGGGTTTGGAAACCGACAGTATCATAAGACCAGAGTTTGCAAAGAGCTTGACTTGGAGCAAGGTTGCAGCAGGTATGCAAGGAAGAGTTAAGAACTTGGAACACTGCAAGACTGGCCGCATCATCACCCAGTCAGAACTGGACGACATGAAGAAGGCTGTTCCGAACCTTCGTTTGATCCAGTCGAGGTGGGTTGCAGCTTACAAAAGCAGTGAGAGGGTTCGAACCAGGATTGTGGCGAAGGACTTCAATCGTGGCTCCTCAGCTAGATCTTTGGGATTTAGCAGTCCGACTCCTTCGATTGAAAGTGTTCATTTGGTGCTTGCAATGGCAGCGACACGGAAGATGCTTTTGCGTGCATTGGACGTGAGTCATGTCTTCATGCATAGCCCATTGGGAATTGGTATACATGTTGTTTTGAAAATGCCGTTGTCCATTAGTTTTCCATCAGGTGAAGCGACCTACTATTTGCTTGAAAAGGCATTGAACGGGTTACGTGATGCTTCACTGGCATGGTTGCAGCTTTTGACATTTACGGTTGAACATGTAGGCCTTTGGTCTGATTCGTTGGAACCATGTGTGTATGGTGGACAGATCGTGAAAGATGGTCATGAGATTGGGTTTTGTTTGTGTGTTGTGTATGTTGATGACATTCTGTTGTTGTCGACCACTAAGGAAGCCGAAGAACATGTGGTTGCAACTTTGTCGTCTGTAGTGCCTGTGAAGACAACTGGAGAGATCGGAGAAGAGGGAGGATCCCTGACCTTTATTGGTCGTGTTATCAAGAGAGAAAGAGATTCCTCTGAGATCACTCTGGGTGTCGATCCACATTATCTTGACTCTACGTTTCTGGATTATGGCGTTACCCGTGGGTCTGAGAATGTTCCTGACATTTCGGGACATCTGGAGAAAACACTCACGGATAGCAACTTTCAGAAACCTTTGTCAGATGAAGCATACTCACGCTTCAGAAAGGCGTTGGGAAAATTGCTTTGGTTGTCACAGGTGCGTCATGACTTGAAGACATGGATGTCTGTTCTTGGGACACAGCAAGCGAAACCGATGCACGGAACTGAAGAAGCATTGAAAGCGGTTTTGAGATTCTTGTATGTTGACATGCATGCATGCTTGTGTCTACCGAGCAGAGATGAGACCACCATGAGTCAGGTTGACGATGCTCAGCTGAGATCAGTCCATCTTCACTCTTTCAGCGACGCTTCACATGCGCCGTACCGTTTCAACAACGGCAAAGGTGTTAGCGGTGGAGCTGTTTTCTTTGAGAGGTCTTTGGTAAGGTCTCTGAGCCGACAACAGCAAGCTTTGAGCTTGAGTTCATGTGAGGCAGAGCTTTATGGTTTACAATCAGTGTGTCAAGAAAGTGTTGCGTTTGGAAGACTGGTTCACCGTCTTCTTTTTGCACGCTGCGTCTCACTTTAGTGATGAGCCTTTATAAAACCTGCTCACAGGTGGGGAGCCACCGTCCTCTTCCTTACGCGTGCTGCGTCCTCTCCTCCGCGTTCTATGTCTAAGTTTCTGGAAGATTGACTTCTGAAACCTCCGTTTTAAACAACTTAAATCTTCTGTGGTTTGAAGTTGTTTTTGAAATTTGCGGTCTTGAACTTTGTAACATGTCCAATTTCAGTGTGCTGTAAATTTATTCATTTGGAATGTTATGACAAGTTGTTCACCGCGTTTTTCAAATTTCAAGGGAGGGTGGGTGGGATAAAAGTTCTCACTACCCGGAGTTCAAATGGGGGTAGAGAGTTTCGTATGCTATTTGCTGGCAATGGATCTCCTGATACATGCTTCTGCTTTTCGGTTGGGCGTTAAGAAGTCTGGAATCAAGTTGCCGTGGGAGAAAGAGCCTCTGAACCCCGTTTTTGCAAAAAGGGCTAGGTTGATACCACCACCTGTCTATGTGCCGGAGCTCACATCGCAAGAACAGAAGGTGGACATCCCACGTGCTGGAACTGAAGGCCAGATAAGATGGTCGCGGAAGACCTCTTTGATCCCTTGGCCAATTGCTCAAGATCGAGCTCTTGCAAGGGCGCTGGAAGCATGGAGAATCATCCTCATGGACAATTTGCAGGGATCCATGGTTGGCAAACAAATTGAAGATGCACTTGCTGGAGACCCTCAGTCACCGTCAGTTGAGAAGACCATTTCAGATGTACTCTCTGGCAAATCAATTTCGACCTTAAGGGCAAGGTCTTCATCGTTGCTGACTTATGGTAGATGGAGAAAAGGTTTAACTCCAGATGCGCCGATTTTTCCAATTTCGGAAGTGCAGGCATATGCATATGTGCGTGAACTCAGGGAACACAATGCACCTCGTACCAGGGCGACGAGATTTCTGGAAGCTGTTTCCTTTGCACACCATTTGCTAGGAGCCGACGTTGGGAACACCTTGAAGTCGTCCAGAGTCAAAGGTGCAGCGACTGTTCACTTAGTTGTTCCGAAGAAGAAGACCCCGCTGACCATTCCACAGGTACGGTTTCTGGAGCATGTCGCAATTTCTGGAACAGGGCCCGAAGCAGTCTTCTGTGGATATGTTTGCATGATCCTACACATGAGACTGAGGTGGTCCGATGGGCAGTTTTGTCAAGCTGAGCCATTTACAGATTTGCATGATGGGAAGGGCTACCTGGAGTGTCAGTTATACCATCACAAGAATGCAGGGCGGCAGAAACATGCGAAGAGGCTTTTGCCGGCAGCTTGCAACTTGCCAGGCCTCTCTGGAGTGGACTGGGCTACACCCTGGCTATGGCGACGGCGTGATCAAGGTCTGGCTGCAGGACCGGGATTACCGACCATGCCAGCCCCCCTCTCAGGAGGTGGCTGGGCTCAAATACCACTTGAGCCGAGTCAAGCAACGACATGGTTGCGTGAGGTTTTGAGGGGCTTGGCACCGATGGCAAACCCTATGGATATTGGGACGCATTCATTGAAGGCAACCTGGCTCAGTATCTTAGCAAAGGCTGGATGCGATGGGGACCTGAGACGATTGGCTGGGTATCATACAGACCCATCTGCAAAGATGGCACTGGAGTACAGCAGAGATGCACAGGCTCCTGTGCTGATGGCAATGGATGCAGCAGCAACAGCCATCGATCAAGGTCTTTTTGATCCAGACGTGTCCAGAGCTAAGCGTTGGCCTCGAAAGGGTTGCAACTCTTTACAAGCTGTCATGCAGTTTCTTGCAAACATTGATGCTGAAGATTTTTGGTATCAGAATCAGTGTCCAGCATTCGAACCTGACCTGAGTCAGACTGATGACATACAGGAAGGCATGGGCTTCGTTGGTACGCTGTCTGAACCCTATTCTCCTTCTCACTCTGATGGCAGTTGGTCTGGTGTTGAGTCAATTTCTTCCATCAGTGAATTGAGTGAGAAACCATTGCTTGGTAGGGATCTCGTTTCTTCGGACGAGGAGCGCGAGGCCGAAGTGGCCGCACCAATAGTAGGTGAGGAGCTTGCAGTGTCCATAGAGCAAAACATAGATACGGAAGTGTTCAGACATGTCTTCAGCGGTTGTTGCCACATTGCACGAAACGCCAACACTGACCCTGATGATGGCGATGCTATCCAGCTGAAGTGCGGAAAGCTGGCAACTAAGAATTTTGAGAAGGTGCGTTTGGCAGGCAATTTCCTGCCTTATAAATGTTCAAGGTGCTTCTCTGACAGTTAAGGTTTTGATTTCATTGAACTGTTCTTTGCATTTGCTTGAGTTCTTTGGTCAGAAGTGATTGTGAGCACTACTTGACTTTCACTGTTACTTGAGTGCAGCAGTTTAAGGCGTGCTTGGAACTCAGTTTATGCATGTTCATGTTCACAACATGTCAGTCATGTGATGTCAGTGTTTCAAATGTTGTAACTGTTTCATGTCACATGTCGAGAGTTGCATGCCCGGCAGAAGAGTCCCAGAGGGAGCTGCTCCAAGCATCCAGCGGTAGGCAGCGTGTCAGGTGCACAGAGCTCGGACAATGACAGTTACAACTTACATGTTTTGTTTCCTTCTCAAGTGTTTCAATCAGCCACTTCGCTTTCATTTCAAGTTTGCAGTGTGTGAAATTGTTTTGTTTTTCAGAACTCACCATGCACAGAGCCCAGAGCCCAATACCTGGCAGAAGCGACAGTACAGAGCTGGGGTCTGGGGCCGAAAGGACGCCGTCTGCAAGTGTCACAAAAGAGTGCAACAGTCAGATCCATTTCTGTCGTTGATTCAGTGATTCGTCTTGCGATTTCTTTTGAATGCTTTTTTTTTGTGGGTTGCATGGTAGTATGAACATTTCACTGAAAGCAGTCATGTTATGAGTCATGACATCCACATGCAAGCCATGACCATAGGGTCATGAACGAGCCATGCATGACGTTGCATGGACAGGCTCCAGAACAGAAAGCTGTTGCTGGAAGAGGAAAGACCTTGTGATTTGTTTTTCACTTAATGATTTATAGCCAGTTCAATTTTTATAGGAAATCGTTTTTCACAGGCACAAACGCCGGGAAGGGTTTCTGTAAAAGAAAACGTTTGCAGTTCATTGGTACTCACCGCTTCACTTTTGAACTTGTAGAGTGGTGGCGGCGACAGCCATGTCCCTAGTCGATAGCACTGCAGTTTTCGAAGCCAGAGCGACGAGCATTGGAGTCCCAGAAGATGTTCTGGCTGCGATGGCATTGAAAGGTTGGGTCAGTCATGGGACCTACGCATTTGCTGTTGCGACTCAACCGGGTGCTGACGAACAAGCCTTTTTGGATGGGGTCATTATCCCATTGTTGGGTGCGGCAGACCACATAGCTGCACCCAAGTTGCGTAGACTCTTTTTCGAGTCGCACACATTGACATCAGCAGAGCTTCGTCGACAAGTTGATGCTACAGAACAAGAAGCTCCTAGGAAGTTGCCTGCACCAGAGATAGCGCAGAGAATGGAACTGCTTCAGGCCCGAATCAGGCCATTGATTGTGGCCAACTTCATGGAGCCGTCGCATCATTTGATCAACTCCTTGGTTCAATGTGTGGAGGATGGCAGGGTCAGGTACATTGAGTGGTCGCGGTGCACCTCTCGAACCCAGGAAGTCAACAACATCAAGGAGGATGGTGACCTCAAGATTTGGAAGACTGACAGCACAGGAACTATCAAGGCCACTACAAAGGAACCATCAATTGTGGCGTCCCTGAACACCGAGTTGGACGTCCACAACGCTTTGAGGCGTCGAGGGGTCGCCTACGAGATTGCACAAGCAATGTCGTTTGAGGTGCACGAGGCCATCATCAACTACTTTTTCTTCGAGCTGAAAAAGGATCCTATGGAAGGATTTGGACAAGTGACCCTTCAACAAGTGGCTGCAGCCGATAGAGAGTTGCATGTGAGATTAGCAGAAGCCACGAGGGGAGGCTTCAAGACTGGACCTGCTGGTGAACTCCCGTTGGACATCCATGTGAAACAGATCTTAGATGGACCTGAGCTCAAATGGATGCTCATGCCATTGCCAAAGAGAGCAGCAGGGAAGCCCGCAACAGAGGGGCCAGCCAAACCCTCGAACGATGCAGATCCAAAAAGGAACAAAGCAGAGCCGAACAAGACCAAGCAGGACTCGTTGAAGCTCAAGCGGCTGAAACGAACACCCATGCCAAAGAAGTTGGTCGGCTGTGTTCCGTGCAATGACGAAGGTCAGCCTCTGTGTTTTGCATTCAACCTTGGGACATGTGCAAGCAGTTCAGATTGCCCAAAGGGGCTCCACATGTGTTGCAAGAAAGGCTGCAACAAAAGGCATGCCTTTGTGACGGCACACAAGCAGGGTGCTTGACTATCAAGTGAGCTGATAGTAAACCAACCGAAGGTTTACACAAAGGATGAAGATCACCTTGTGGCTGCATCACGAAAGCGTGGCACAGCCGCTGTCAAAGTGGACGACAGTCGTCCGTGCGAACCGGTGGCGAAGCGAAAGCGCTTGGTCACGGGTTGCTCAGTTGCAGAAGTGCACAAAATTTCCAGTGGTGTTGGTGACAAAGAGTCAACACAATCACCTCCGAAGGAGCATGACCTTTTTGCGGAAGCAAGTTTTAAGGATGCAGAAGTGCAGTCTGGAAAACAGCTTTTTCTTTTAGATATATTTTGCGGAACAGCAGGTGTGACAGCAGCTTTTAGAGCGTGTGGTGGTGATGCACTTGGCATTGATCACATCATTGATAAGCGCAGAGTTAAGGGTCCTGTCTCAAAGGTCGATTTGACGAAGAAAGATGGACAGGAAACCATCATGGGATGGATCACATCCGGAAAAGTGGACGCTGTTATGCTTGCACCTCCCTGCGGCACAGCGTCGCGAGCCAGAGAAATACCGATACCAAAAAGACATCGCCTGCGTAAGGGCATGCAACCTTCCCCCTTGCGGTCAGAGCAGTTTCCAATGGGGTTGCCAAATCTGAAAGGCGTGGCCAAGCTCAAAGTTCAAGCTGCAAACCGTTTATACTCATTTGCAAGAAGGGTCATTAGTTTGTGCGTGGACCTGGACATCCCTGTCATTTGCGAGAACCCACGCCGGTCTTTGATGTGGAAGACCGATTATTTCAGTGACTTGCCATCAGTTTGCCGCTTTCAACACATCCACTCCTGCATGTACGGCGGCAAACGAAAGAAGAGGACTTCATTTCTTTTGAATTTCCATGCACAAAATTTGTTACTGGAATGTGATGACAAGCATCAACATTTGCCTTGGGGTCTTGTACAAGATGATGTTTCTTCTGAGATTAAGTTTTCGACCAGTCTAGAGACAGAATACCCTGCGGGGTTATGCAAGCAACTGGCATCAGCTTTTTTGGATAGAATGCTACAGCAGGGCAAAGATATTGCCCAAACACCACTCCAAATGGAACAAGCTCAGCGCATGGGTTCAGGCTTGCAACCACGTGGAGGACGTGCACCACTTCTTTTGGGAGACTTCAAGTTTAAAATTGATGTGACCTCCGAGAATGTGGACATTCCTTCCCAAATCAGTGAATCAGTGCACCCTCCATTCCAGGGTATTCCTATCCATTCAAAGCTGATTTCTTCTCGATATGTGTCTGAAGTGGGGGATGAGGGCGAGAAGAGAACTCGGTCGATATCTACTTTTGGAGTTTTCAGGTCTCCTTTTGAATTTCTACACAGGGCATTGACCCTTGAACACCCTCTGGACAACCCTCACAATGTGGACAAATGCAATTTGAAAGCAATTTTATTTATAAGAGACCACAGTGCTTCAGAGGTTGTTCAGTTCAGAGCAAAGCAACTCAAGAAGTACACGTCACGGGCCGCTCAGTTGGGTGCGGAAGAACTTCAGTTTAAGAAGACGCTGGATGGTGACGTAGCAAGAGTTTTGGAAGGGAAGAGACTTTTACTTTTTAAGGAGATGGCAGTTGACGCCAATGTTGGCGATGAGACCCTGTTCCAGGAGTTAACGGAAGGATTCAGGTTGACTGGTGAGATGCCTCAATCAAAACAATTTCCTGCGAAGTTGAAACCAGCGTTGATTTCAGTTCAACAACTCAGAGAATCTTCCGTTTGGGCAAAGAAGATGATCCACTCCTCTTGCCGCAGGGTTGGTGCAGATCCTGAGATTGCGAAGGCGGTGTTCGAAGAGACGCAACAGCAACTGAAGGATGGATGGGTACGTGGTCCTTTTTCGGCCGCTGATTTGGATCTGAAATATAATGGATGTTGGGTGCCTTCCAAGCGTTTCGGAGTGCGGCAGGGAGGAAAAATTAGAGCAGTGGATGATTTTTCAGAATTTTTGATCAACGCATCGGTCACCTCTACAGAGAGACTGCAGTTGTTTGGTTTGGATGAGGTCGTCAACACTGCACGAACTTTTATTGGCTGCGATTTTCTTAGGGCTGATGACCTTTTGGAAAATTTGTGGTGTGACCCGGCCGTGCGTTTCTTTAAGGGCCCCTGGACTGACATCATGGGAAGAGCGCTGGATTTGAAGAGCGCTTACAAGCAATTAGCAAGGCATCCTGATGACAGTTGGGCATCAATTTTGGCAGTCTGGAATTTGGAGACTTCTACAGTGGAATATTACGAATCTTGTGCACTGCCGTTTGGGTCAATTTGTGCCGTCATGGCATTCAACCGTATGGCACGTGCCCTCAGATTGATTTTATCTGAGCTTTTCTGCGTAGTCAACACGAATTTCTTTGATGATTTTTGCCAGCTTGAAAGAAATGAGCTGTGTGATTCAGCATGGCAGACCGCAGAGTTGGTTATGCGCCTTTTGGGATGGAGGATTTCAATGTCAGAAGACAAACGTGGTCCCTTTGCAAAGGAGTTCAATCTTCTTGGTGCTGTTATTGACCTGTCAGGTGCTATGCAAGGAGTTGTATCGGTACGCAACAAACCTTCCCGGATCTCTGATCTTCAAGAATTGGTCAACAACATTTGTAGTAGCCAGACAGTGGCCATCTCGACTCTTGAGACCCTCAAGGGTCGTCTCCTGTATGCCGCAGGGCATACTTTTGGAAGATGTACTCAGTTGGCAATTCAACTGATTTCTCGAGTGGCTCGTCGAGGCCCTTTAGTACTCCTTGACGAACAGCTGAAGCATGTCATTGTGAGAGCCATGCACTGTTTGGTCAACTCCAAGCCAAGGCGTGTGGAAGCATGGTCTGGAAGGGTTCCCATCCTTTTATTTACAGATGGTGCCTGTGAGAACGAAGGCGCACTGGTGACACACGGTGCAGTGTTATTTGACCCTGAGTCGAATTTGGCACTCATGTTTGGTGATGAGATCCCGCCTGAATGGACCTCAAAATGGAAGTCTGAAGGACGCAAACAGTTGATTTGTCAAGCTGAACTCTTCCCTGTGATCATCGCAAAGAATACTTGGAAAGACGCGCTGAAGGGACGTTCAATCCTTTGGTTCATCGATAACAACTCTTCTCTTGCGGCGATCATCAGATCGTACTCTCCTGTGCTCGACAACTTTGAGATGCTTGTGATTAATGCTCGTTTGGACACAGAACTTCAGTGCCTACATTGGTACTCCAGAGTACCATCCCGGTCCAATCTCAGTGACGACCCGTCACGACTTGTTTTCGAGGAACTTGAAAGACAAGGCTTTAAAAGATGCACACCATGCTACAATCTCACGAGCGGGTGAAATGGGGTGGTAAGGCGTGAGATATAAAGATGTCTTGCGCATAACACGAAAGCGTGCCGACTCCCCAATTACCTAAAGGTGAGAAAAAAGTTACAGAGTGATTTTTCAAGACGTCAGCTGTGCAATCACTTTCACGTTGTGCAATCCTCCGTGTCGACTTCACGTTTCTTTTATTTATATATATATATATACTTACTTGAGTGTTTGTATATATATATATATATAATTTGAGTTTTATTAATTTTGTTTTGTAAGCAACGCGCAATCAGGGACGCAAGCGTAAAGGTAGAGGTGAGCTTTGGTTTGATAAGCTGCGTCTCACTTTAGTGATGAGCCTTTATAAAACCTGCTCACAGGTGGGGAGCCACCGTCCTCTTCCTTACGCGTGCTGCGTCCTCTCCTCCGCGTTCTATGTCTAAGTTTCTGGAAGATTGACTTCTGAAACCTCCGTTTTAAACAACTTAAATCTTCTGTGGTTTGAAGTTGTTTTTGAAATTTGCGGTCTTGAGCTTTGTAACATGTCCAATTTCAGCGTGCTGTAAATTTATTCATTTGGAATGTTATGACAAGTTGTTCACCGCGTTTTTCAAATTTCAAGGGAGGGTGGGTGGGATAAAAGTTCTCACTACCCGGAGTTCAACCCGCCCTCCCAACCCTCTCCGGGCGTGAGATATAAAGATGTCTTGCGCATAACACGAAAGCGTGCCGACTCCCCAATTACCTAAAGGTGAGGAAAAAAGTTACAGAGTGATTTTTCAAGACGTCAGCTGTGCAATCACTTTCACGTTGTGCAATCCTCCGTGTCGACTTCACGTTTCTTTTATTTATATATATATATACTTACTTGAGTGTTTGTATATATATATAATTTGAGTTTTATTAATTTTGTTTTGTAAGCAACGCGCAATCAGGGACGCAAGCGTAAAGGTAGAGGTGAGCTTTGGTTTGATAATTCATGAGATCGATGAGCCAGAAGAAGTTGTGATTTGGTTGGAGAGCGATTCAAGCTCCGCATTGCAACTTGTGAGATCCATGGATGTGGCACGACGTTCACGACACATTGAAATAAGATTGCATTGGTTACGAGAGCAGATGAGAGAGGGTTTGTTGAAATTGAGACACAGGAGTGGTGTTGAAAATCCAGCAGATCTTTTCGCTAAATGCTTGAGTGCCAAAGCTTTCTATAAACACCGTTATGCTCTTGGGATTGTGGTTCCAGATGGTTTAACAGCTGAGTTGGCAGAACTTCGTGAGCTGAGTGTGTTGCAGCAAGTGTTGACTCAGGGTTCTTCAATTGCGATTGTGGAACTGTGTTGTTCGGAACATTCGAACTTGAGAAAGGTCTGTGAAGTTTCAAAGGTCCCATACATTGGTGTAGTTGCTAAGGTGCAGAGTTCTGGAACGTTGAGTCGTGTAGCTGTTTGCATGCGACAGTGGAAGAACTCGTCATGTCCACCTTGGGTGCGTATTCATGCATCGACTCCTTGTGGAAGTGGAAGTCCGCTTCGCAATTTCAATCCGGACTCAGTCACTGAAAAGGACCAGGAATGGGATGAGATCACCAACGCGATTGGTGGTTACTTCAAACATGCAGACTCATGTTCGTTTGAGCTTCCAGAACGAAATACCATTTGGTCCCGACCTGAGACAGTGAATCTTTTGCAGAGTTTTGACATGAGGCATGAGGCTTTGGTGAGGTTGTGCAAGACTGGATGCCGGAACAAGGATGGTATTCCGATTGGAAAGACATTGAAGTTTGTTTCCAATTCAGCTTGCTTTGCACTAAATCTTCACTCCAAACTTTCTACATGTACATGCCAGACTCATGCAGAACTTTATCAAATCAACTATACTGAAACAGCGTTTTACAACCGAAAGTTGGCAAGATACATTTTGATTGCGGTCAAACATGCTTCGAAGAAGAGTTGAATTTGCGTTTAAAAGGGGGACCCTGTGACAGAGAGAGACAGAAGTTGGATCCACGTTTCGTTTCATTTCGTTTCATTTCTGTTTGCACGTTGTTTTCAAACAAACGTTGCCAAAGACAAACAGGAGTTTTCACCATGTTCCATCTTGTGCAGAGTTTTGTTGCGCGATACTGTAAGATGCAGTGTGTTTGCGCAGCGCCGAACAATCGGAAAGGTTACTGATCCTATCACGACTGTGATGGCGGTTCGACACTTCGTTTCACGTTCTAGGTGAATTGCTCCTAAGAGTTTAGCCACGGTCTAGTGCTTTTTCACTACCGGACGCGGTTTGGTTTGTAGCCATGGCCAAGTCTGGATGGACAGATGAAGATGAGAAGGCTTTACTTGGTCTTCTTCAGAAGAAGTGGCACAGTGAGAATTCAGGGTCAGGCTATGCAGCCGGATCCAGTATTTTGACTCCTTTGGAGAGTCAAGGAGCAATGACAGATGGAAGCAAGCGACTTCGTGAGGCTCTGGATGATGATGAATTCGATGTGATTTCTTCGGCAGCTGAACCTTTGAATGCGCAGTTGCCTGTGATGCCTATCCCAATCTTTCCTGGGATCGCCGACAAGGTCCTTGATCAGCTTACTGCTGATTTGGTGCCTGAAGGTATGAGTTTTCGAGATTGGAGCAGAACGAAGTTTGCGTTTGGAAAGTTTGCCAATGAAGGCAAAACCTACCGTGAGGTATATGTCGATGATGAGATGGCCGGATATTGCAAATGGAGTATGTGTCACCTGGGAAACAAGAGTACAAGTCCAATTGCAAAGGATTGGTATTCTTTTCTCTGCGCATGCAAGGTTGTGGAGGACTCTGGAAAGGTTGGAAAGCCAAAGGGTTGCTTCACTGGAACTTCAGTGCAGAGGCAGCTGGGTGATTGAGAGTATCCTCATTGGTGCAAAGGCGAGGAAAGACTATGAGCTGGTTGTTCATTGGATGGTGGACAACGGGACAATTCGTACTATGTGTATTGACCTGTCGAGTTTGAGCGATATGTGCTGAATTCTGGATGGGTTACAGCGTATACCTATGGAATGGAGTTCATCTCAAAAGGGGGTGTGAAAATTGTGTGACATCTGTGGTGAGATGAATCCATTGGTCTTTTCTGCATTGGAAGAAGTGAATTTGGTTTTCATCTTGATGATGAGCTCAACCGTGATGGTTGACATCGTATTTGCACGTTTCATGTTTTGCACGTTTTATTGGAGATGACGAAACCCAACAACGATATACTTTTCGTCTTCTTTGAGTACTTTGATTGCACGGAGAACATCGTGAGGATTTGAATTTGTATAGTGACATGGAAAATCAAACCATTTTCCATATGTTTTGCTTTAGTTTTTGCCGGCAGAACGATGGCAGAATCATCGCAGAATGATCGCAGAAGTACACGAAGGAATCGTGAGAAGATCGTAGAATTCATTTTGTGACTTCGGAAGAAGGAACTGTGTTTTACATTGATCGGAGAAGTTTAGTTTGTTTTGTCTCTCAATGATGATAGCGAGAGCAACGTTCTGAAAGGCATTCAGAACTGGAGTTGCTAACAGATCTGAGGGAGACATCATGAATCATGTTTTGGTGCTTGAAATGTTTCAACGTTTTTCAAACACTCAAACTTATTTAAACAAACAAACCATGCCTTGATGTAAAGACTTTTTGTGAGGACATGTGTTTTTGATCGCTTTTGTGAGAGTTAGCAGAAAGATGCTGACTGGCGACTCCGCATCATTTTTGTGTCAAGGCGTGACACACCAACAAGAACCATAGCGACATGAGCAAGACATTTCTCCTTGTTGCTTGTGTGTTTGGTAAAAGTGGCTGAGCTCTGGGAGTGGTTGACTTGGTTGCGTGGACGGTCTTAGTGAGTTAAGGACGACGTCCTGGACGCTGACCCAAGTAGGTTTCGAAGGTTGTGGTTACCTTCCGCATTCGGGGTGTCCTTTGTCCGGTGGCTCTGCATGGATGGTCGTGTCTATCCGAGAGGGGCGGTAGGTAGCCGGCCGAAGCCATGGACTAGATTGTGCTGCAGTGAGTCTCACTGGTGCTCCCTGTAGGACAGCCTAGGGCGCCCGCGAGCAGCACAAGACTGCCTACATGGTTCGTCAGTTAGTGGATGGAATGTGGTGATTCTGCAGTCTGCCTATTCTGTGGGTGAATAGCGTTACAGTGCATACTGCAAAGCACTGCAGGTCTTTCAGGGACGATGACACCCTGAAATGTCTTGAACAGTTCTGTGGTTTGCATGCTCAAGAACCTGCAATAATGAGAGCAACGTTGCCGAAGATAGCACTGGTCTGGCGGAACTAGCGTATCAGTCATGCCAATTTTCGGCTCTCTTTTGCTGTCCGAGTGTGGAGTCATCGCCTTGTTTGGCTTCATACCATCTGCACAACGATTTTTTTGATTGCATATTCCTCATCTTTGCGAGTATGCCTAGGGCCTAGGAGCTTCGCTGGCTGAGATCAATCACTTTGCAGGTTTGCATTCCTCCCCTATGAAACTAGGGGTCTGCACTACATTTGCGATGGCAGTATGGAAGTTTTT